ATTATAGTTTGCCCTATGTGCAGCAGTAGAAAAGCTAGAGTTAAACAGTCCTGTTAGACAAGGTTAGAGGTATATATAGTGTAAGATATATAAATAGTATTATAGCTCTTTAGAAAGCTAAATGCTACTTAGTCTATGTAGAGAATAAACTAAACATTAAACACACCTTCTAAAAGTTATTTAATATAGAAACTATATACATGTGCAGGGGACACTAAGGTGAGCTAGACAAGCTTACCTAAGCCTGCTAAGCAGGGCTTGCTAAGCTCCCTTAGACTTGTAGGATTTGCGTCCTGTCCCCCTATTAGACGACGCATTCTTCCATGATCTTGGGTAGTCGCGCGGCTTCCGCGTCCTCCGCTTGGTCTGTAAGCGAGTCCCGCTCCAACCGTACCATATTGTGGAGCATCCTGGGTGGAGTTACGCTGGTCCAACCGTAGACCGTAACAACTAAGTACTACCTACATCTAAAGTTAAGATTTACACTAAGTGTTTAATATATTATTAATGTAAATCCTGCTATTAGTTACTATAGATGTTGCTAGATATAGGCTTTATAATGTAGTAAAGCGCTTAGATATAAGACTATTTAATTATATACTAGCAACTTTTTAGTTCTTAGCATATCCTTTTTAACTTTATTGTTAATAACAACATATAGCACCTTCTACTTTACTTTTTTACACTATACTCTTGCGCTTTACTCTGCTCTCTCTATTCTTATCTATTACTATACTGCTAGTAGATGCTGTATTATCTAACATAACCTTAACTAATGTGTTCTTTTACACTAAGAAAAGCGTAACACTGCGCTTTTTAAAATTATACTTTTACTATAACTTTACTATAACTCTAGCTAACTTATTTTTTTATACTATAAAAGGCAAAGCAACCCTATGTTATAGACCTTAAAAAATAAGAATGTAAGAGTGCCTAGAAAAAAAAAAGCTATGTAGTAGCCTAAAAAAAAAAAGGCTATGTAGTAGCCTAAAAAAAAAAAGACTATGTAGAAACTTTATGCTATTAAAGGTTACACCTTTAATACTACTCTAACTAATTTATTACCTTACACTATAAAAAAAAGCGCATAAGCATAGTAAAACTTTAACTAATGTGCTTATTAATATAACTTTAAGTCTCTTATAGTTAGAGTTAATGTAACATTTTATTAACACTTCTAGCTATCTAGCTGCAGCTCTGCAGTGTTATAGTGTATACACACTCTAGATACACTGCTGTTGTAACTATTAAATAGGCGCTTCTACTGCTTATAAATTAGAGTTATAATTAGTGTAATTAAGTTAATATAAAATGCCTTAACCTTAGCTAGGGGAATCTAAGTGTTCCTTATAGAGCTAGCTAAACCCTCTGTCCTTCTTAACAATCTTAGAGAACAGGTAATAAGAGAGTAGTGCACTAGCTGCTTACTTTACTTAATGCTATAATAAAGACAGAGACTAGCAACAGCGTCTTTAGAAATATTTAGTAGCGTTGTAGAAGCACTACTTAGAGGCTAATTAGTAACAGCTAGAGTACAAAGTGTTTACTTAGTGTTAAGTATACTAAAAACTGCACTAGCACACTGCCTATAATAGACAGGCGTATACAACTCTATTCTAGGGGAATATAGTATACTAAAAGCACTAGATGCTATTGCAAACGCATTATTTATAAGAGAGCTACTATAATTTGTTAGATCTGTTAGTATGTAACTGTCTAGAGAAGGAGGAGAACTACTACTAATTAGTAAATCTAGGAACATGCTTAATTCTATAGACATAAATAAGGTATCTAGCCTTACTAACTATAATAAGCTAATAAACTAATTAGTTTATTACTACTATTAAGTAAACTAATGTTAAGTAGCCTAGATAGTAAGACTTTTATTATAAAACTAAAAACTAGTAACTAAGGATAAATAAGCTAAAAAGCCTAAAGTAGTTAAAACCTTACCTACATTTCTAAACTTATAACATAGTAACTAAATAATCTGTCTAACTTTATAGACAACTATAGTTAGATAGAATTCTATAAAAGGCTAGTCTAGGGGTAGACAGTCTTTTATGCTATTATAGTCTATCTTATTTTTAAATATTTAGGACACTTTTTAACTATTTAGAGCTCTTTTCTTAGCTATAAGTTTAGCTAGCGCCTATTATATAAGTTCTAGCATAAATATAGACAAGAAAGGCAGTATTTATATGTTACTAGCTATAATACTGCAGACTGCTAGGAAGTGCTTAAGGGCTAGTGCTTAAAATATCTTTTATAGGTACTATAACATAACACTAGCCCTAGTATTTGCACCTAGGGTAGTAGGTTTAGTTTCTAGGACTATAGCAACCTAATATAGCATAAGATATAGATTACATCTAGTATAACACTTTTTAAGTAAAAGGGGTGTACGCTTTATTAACTTAATAGTAAGGTCTTTCTAGAAATACTAAAGTATATGCTTATAGTAACACTTAGAGTTAATTAAGGCCCTTTAATTAAGACTAATAGTAGCCTACTAAACTAGTTACTTATTTATTTAGTTAAGAGGCCTACTAGCACACTTATATTTTTAATATGCCTAGATGTAGTTTTAAGTATCTTTTAACATTACTGTTATAAACTTAAACATCTTAGAAAAATCTTTAGCTACTAGAGTTACCTCTAGCATAACTTTTATTATAGAAGTTGCGCTATTCTAACTACTGCTAGCAACTACTTTTTTAAGTAAATTTACTAAGATAGCTTAATAAAGCATAAACGCTGTTATTTTATAATAAGGCTTTACTTTTAAGCTTTACTAACTCTTTACTATTTACATAACTATGCTAATAGCGCTACTACTTGCACTATTACTGCTAACTAAGTCTGTTAAATTAGTACTAAGGCAGTTAAAGGCATAAAAGAGGATGTATAGCACAGCTATAGCAGTCTTACTAGGCCTACGCGCACTACGCCTAAAGCGCTAGACAAGATTGCTAATATCCTAAGTAATTAAAATGCCCTACTAGTATACCTACTGTATACTAGATAAGTCTATACTTATACTAAAAGCAGTAGTGTAAATAATAATTTGTATAAAAAAGTTTACTTTTTTAAAGTTTTTATATATGTTTTTTTAGTTAGCATCTGCAACACAACTTATATATGCCTAGATAATACTCTTAGCTTATGCTATAGTATATCTTTTATAGGATATAAGCTATTATTAAAGAAGTCTAGTAACTTTAGTAATATAAGTTCTACTATTAATAAACACATAAGTTTTTAGTATAAAGGCTAAGTTACTAGGGATACTAGGTATATTCTTATTCTAACTACTATTAATAATGCGCAGTAGCTAGGCGTAGGTCCCCTTGCTATTATAGTTAATTAGAATAATTATGTACATAATTTCTAGCTAATTAACAGATGTTTAAATAACCTTTAAGCTTTTAATAAAATCTTTACTATTATCTATAGCCTTTAGTTTAAAGCTACTAAACTTTTAAACTACTTTTTTAGTTTATTAATTAAACATAGCTATATAAGCAAAGAAGGTTGTGTTTTATAATATAAATTAATAAAGCTTATAAAACTATAAGTACTTCTTTTAGAAGTCTTTTTACTATCTAATAACATAGCACTTATTTAACGCTACTAGACTAACTCTAGTGTAGAACACAGTGTTATTAAATAGTTACTAAAACGCTAAGAAGATAGCTTATTTTAAACTAATTAAGATATAAGAGTATTTTTAGTTTTTAATGTTGCAGAAGAGACCTAAGTTAGCGTCCTTTGTCTACACTATAACTAAATAAGGCTTTGCCCCTTTATACTAACTAATTACCTCTAGTTGCTTATTTTTTAGCTTTAATAATAGTATAATCTAAAAAGTAATATTACTAGTTAGCATAGAATACACATGTAAAACAACGCTCTTTTTAAAGCTAGTTTAAGCTACTAATATTATATCTCTAAAGCTATATATAAGTCTATAGACAGCCCTTACTTGCTGCTTATATAGCTTCTGCTTACCTAACATAGCCTACATAGCTTAGGTAAGTAGGAGTGTTTAGTACTAAACATTAAACTTAACTAAGCACTTAGAGACTAATTTTTATAGTTTTATTAGGCTAAGTAAGTTACAGTTGTTAATTTAATCTTGCATAACTGCGTCTAGCCTATATGTAGGAGTAGTAGCTGTATTTACATCTAACAGTAGACAAGCAGCAACGCAGAGAAGTATATAACACTACTTATTTTTTTTATTACATGTATTTTTTCTTTTACTTTTCTTCTTTATTTTAGCTAAAGCTATAGTAGTAAAAGGGACATTAGCTAAATAACTACTAATAAAGTAAACCTAATAAATTACCTACTACACTAAAGGTTAACACTTAATGTAATTTTTTATAGTTTAAGAACTAGAGGTGTTTTATAGCAGCAATAATATACAGCGCACTAGGTTTAGCGTGATAGAACGTGGTGGTTGTGGATGTTCTTAGAGGGGGGGTTCTTAGAGGGGCTTCTGCGCAGCGTGTAAAATTAGGGTATAGATAAGTTGTTTTTTTACACACATTTAAATTTTTAATGCCTTTAAGCTATTTAAATCTTATTAAAAATAAGCTTAATTAAAACTTACTATAAATCTACATATTATATTAAATTTTAAAGGCTGTTAATAATAAACTTATTATACTATTATAAATTACAACATTGTATTTAGCTTTTAAAGTAGGTTAATTTACAAAGAAAATTATAAAAGTCCCTTAGATAGCTAAGGAGAGAAACGCTACTAACAGGGGTCAGAAACCGCTAACCCCCCAGGCCATACTCTATTTGGAGTAGCAATGCGTCCTTGGTTCTCTCCTCACGTCTGAGCTAGCTGAGATAAAGGTGTGACAGCTTCCAGGCCTCGGCTAGCTAGGAAGGGATTAGTGCCGGAGATAGCGGGGAAGCTTTCCATATCAGCTAAAGTGGCATAGCTTCGAGGGATACTAAACATCATCCAGCGGGCTTCGTACCGTGAATCTACTTTACCACAAGTCCGGTGGACTGCTGTACCAACATGAGTGCGTCGCAGTCCCCGTACAACCCCGCCAGTGAGGACGACGACCTACGCACAATAGTCTACGACCCTAACGATCCGTTCTGGCAGGACGACGATGATGATGCTGACGACATGGACTATATACCCGCCCTGGGGGAAGATGAGGACGGCGAAGATGATGAAGGGGATGCCAGCTTTCATGGTATGTAAGAGGGGATTCCCACTTGGATATGTGGTGGAGCAAGAGTTGACCAGCCGCGATTAGATGCAGCAGAAAACCTGAGCGGGGTAGAAATCGAGGTCGAATTTACCGAGAATGATGATCAAGAGGAGGGGGATAACGGACAAGAGGCGAGTGGGGCAGCACGTCCTCCTCGGCCAATATACAGTAATTGTCATTCTAGAGATATTGACGAATCCATTGCTGATGAATAACTTTCTAGTTACTCGAGAACAGATAATGCAACTGCTCGGTCATGCGGGTATCAGTCGTATATTTGCATCGGACTACACATCAAGGCATCGTAGCCGTCGGTTTGCTGATAATGATGATGACGGCGAAGAGAGTGAGCCGGGAACTGGCTATGACCCAATTGTTCCTAGGAGAAGGAGAGGACGTGGGAGGGCTACGTTCCAGGCAGTGCCTAGCAATGAGGGAAAGGAGCTGATGAATGCTGGGACATTTGGCTCTAGCAATCGTCCCGAGGACACCCTGAAGAGAAAAAAGCGACTGGCATATAATATCATGCGAAGAGAGTTAGGGCTAGGGAGTGATGGGCGGCAGAAAAACGCTAATAGGCTCATAAGACAAAACATGATTCCAGAATCTGCAGCCGACACAATCATTCACTACAATGCTCGTTGTTACTCTGGGCAATTCTCGGACGATGGCAACTTCTTTTTCTCTTGTGGTCAGGACTTCCGAGTGCGCATGTACGACACGTCTAACCCGTACGACTGGAAGTATTACAAGGTAAGAAGCCGTAATTTTAACGGCATCATGCGGAATCATTTCTAACAGCTTTAGACTGTGGCGTACCCTTACGGTCAATGGACAATCACAGACGCATCCCTCAGTCCTGACAACCGATTCTTAGCGTACAGTTCTATTCGAAGTATTGTGTGTCTGGCTCCGACAGACCCTGATAATGAGTCGGATCCGAATTCTCTAGATTTCGCCAATATTGGAACCCATAACCCTCGGGGTTTTCATACCTACTTTGGGGTAAATTTATTTCAAACCCTCCATTGTAGTAATACATTGCTAATAGTAAACAGATCTGGTCCATACGGTTTTCGGGCGATGGAAGAGAAATCGTAGCTGGTACAGGCGACAATTCCGTCTACGTTTATGACATTGAGCGACGGCAATCAATTCTCCGCATTCCAGGTCACCAGGATGATGTCAATGCTGTTTGCTTCGGTGATTCATTGTCTCCTCATATTCTTTACTCAGGATCTGATGACACTACCCTCAAGGTCTGGGATCGCCGAAGTATGGGGGATGGAAGAGAAGCTGGCGTGTTCTTGGGTCACACGGAAGGCTTGACATATGTTGACAGTAAAGGCGATGGCCGCTATGTGCTTAGTAACGGCAAGGACCAAACGGCGAAGCTGTGGGATCTGCGGAAGATGATGAGCAAAGATAAGGCTGACCAGGTTGATATCAATGCATACACGACACGCTTCGAATACCGATCGAACGCCTACGACGACAACAACTACCGTCCGCACCCCCACGACTGCTCGCTTGTCACATTCCGAGGCCACAAGGTACTAAAAACGCTAATCCGATGTCACTTCTCGCCACCAGGCAGCACAGATTCTAGATATGTTTATTCTGGGAGTTACGACGGTTCAGTGTACATCTGGAACCTGGACGCAACACTGGCTGGTAAGGTTGACGTCCTCAAAGCTACGAAGAATACGCGACCGCGAGATCCAAACCTCCTGGCAGACACGTATGATTATTTTGGACGTAACGGGGGGACCTGGATGACTTGCGTTCGTGATGCTAGTTGGCATCCGAACGCTCCTGTTATAGCAGGTCAGTACCATATATCTACCTATCGCTAAGTGCTATCACTGATGCTGGCTAGCAACTTCATGGAACGGCTGGGGCACTTCCCAGGGCACGTGTACTGTGCATACTTGGAATGACGGTTTAGACAACGACGAGGCAGAGCCCAAAATGACAAGGAGGGTAAACGCTCAGCTCCAGCACGATGAGCGCTTGTATCGAAGATTGGCACACAATTATGATGACGATTGGGAGGACGACTAGACGGTACATATGGGAATCATCCTATTGAGTGCATAATTGATGCCATTCGCGCGTTGTATATTGTTTTCGAGGAGACTTTTCTGGCCTATTTTCTGGGCAGTCTAGAGTGAACAGTTTCGTGATTATGGGCAAGAATAGACGTTCAGGGTATCGAACGATTAGACGTGCATGATTTCGAATAGGGTTCTGGCGTATATTTTGGATATAATCAAACTCCCGCTTGTCCCGATGACTCTGGAATGTCCGTAATGTACAACATTTTCAAGCCTGATCCGATGCTATGCACCCTCCTGCGCCCTTTCTCACAGAACCTCTGCCATGGCAACCAAAGAAAGCCCCCCTCGACCCCTGGAAATGACTGGCACGTGCGACTATGACCCGCCGACGAGGATGTTGTTAACGGGGATGTGGATGAGCTTGACTACGTAGCCAATGACGCCCATGACTACGAATCCTACACCAACGGCCTGTGAGATCTCTGTGTTGGCGTTAGCGGTGCTGATTGTGGGCGCTGGAAGAAGCGACGGACTGATGAACTCCCGCTTGTCGGGTTTTGTGCAGCGGTTAATGAATTGTAGGCCATCTCGAACGAACTCCTGGGGAACACTGAAGCCCGTCAGCAGCTGGATATTACCATGTTATTCATCAACATACTCTGCGAGTTCCTTGACCTGGTCCATTGCGATTGGGAGATGTGATTAAGGGGCGTAAGTGTGGCGGGGTGATTTCCAACGAGTACCCTGTAGATAATGCGCGACTCGGGTGGTATCTAGACGGCGAGAGATCGATTCGGGGTGGTGATGTATAAAGAGATGCAGTGTTGAAGCTTGGAATTTATGAGACCCCTAAGCAGCATTCGTGACAGATCTCTGGAATGCGGAGCTGCGGAGAAATGATACGCCTAGCTCATGCCAAGAGAGCCAAGACGCCGTAGCTCCCGAACATTGGGGCGTCTTCTTAGAGACCCGCAGCGCGCTCCTCATCCTCGACACCTCACTCTGCTCACATTTCGTCCTCAGGTGTGTCTCACGCTCCGACCACTCTCACTTTCTTCTCTAGGACACTCGGCGACCCTGCCCACCGCCTTTAGTGCTACTTAGTCGCACAAACGCGTCTAAGGGGGAAAGGGTTTGACTCGACGTGTTTCGAATCACCTTTAACATCTTCCTCTTCATCTCATCTCATTCCTCGTATCATTGCTCTCTGTCGCAGGCTATACTATCACGGGGGACTTCTGTAGCGCGGCAAACACATCCCGCGCCCGTCTGTACTGGGATCCTCTGCGCTAGGCTCGCGCAAACGGAGAGGCGATCAGCTTTTCCTCTTCACCTCCTGTACCTTTTCATTTCCGCATCTGCCAGAGGCGATCGGAGTTTGACGCATCCCCCATTTGAGCAGTCTTTTCCTGGATTTCATTCTCAATCAACCGAACACCAAGAGTGAACTGTACGTACTTCCATTCAGCTTGTGCTGTCCTTAGCCGCCCCTGTCACCATCGCACAACGCGTGGCTTGCGATTGGACATTTCCTTCGATGCTCTATTCTGTTGTCTTATGGCCGCTGATTGAGAATGCCGCAAGCAGACTTTCATGTACTTGGACGCTTAACCTCACCCCATCAAGTATCTACCAGACAATCAAACATCCAGGAAATTTGCCTTCACCCTTCACCTACAGATATTGCTGAATATTCACTCCAAAAATGGCTGACGATGATAACTTCGACATCGATATTTACGGCGACGATACCTCCCCAGATTATCAGGAATCAAATCTGCCGACAGGCGATGTGAAACAGGAGGACACCAGCGCCATTCAAACTGACTCACTTCACGATGAGCCAGCGCATGCCAACGGGGAAGTGAAATCCGAAGGGATGGATCAAACGATCAAGCATGAGCCTAGCAATGATGCCGCAAGCGGAGATTCCCACCAAGGCAATGGGACCCAGCAGATATCAAGCACCGGTGGGTCAGCGAATAACCAGGCCCAGCCTCCCAAGCAAGCCCCCCGACAACAAGGCATGAAGCGCAAGCAAGGCGACGACGATGATCGGCCGCTGGATCCAGGCGCTTCGGCGGCCTTGCTGATGAACGACCTGCACTGGTGGGTTAATGAGGAAGACATTCGTGGGTGGGCGAATCAGAGTGGCTGCGAAGACGAGGTCATTGACATTACCTTCAATGAGCACAAAGTCAATGGCAAGAGTAAAGGGCAAGTTTCAAGTGCTCTCACAGTTTGTTCTAATCATATACTAACTTCATCGTGTACAGTCAAGTCTACGTTCAGTTACAATCCCCTCAAGCTGCTACCGCGCTCAAACACCAGCTAGAATCCTTCTACGAAAGCCAGACACACAGCAAGAAGCCAACTGCCGTATTCAACCCACCTCACATTAACCCGTTCAAGACTCTTCCCAAGGACATCCCTGCTCGCGAAAAGAACCGTGGTGATCGCTCTTCGTCCGGCAACTTCAGTGGCGACCGAGGAGGTGGAGGTGGAAACTTTAATCGGTTTAACAATAATCGGGGCAATTTCAATAACCGTGGGAATATAAGCAATAATATGGGCTTCCAGAACCGTAACTTCTCGGGTCCCGCTGGTGGCAATATGGGGGGAAACATTGGAGGATACGGTTCCCCAGCGCCCATCAACAACTTTGGTAGTGCTCCAATGGGAGGAATGAACAACTTTGGTGGCGGCTTCAATAATAGAGGCGGCATGATGGGTGGCGGTATGCGCGGTGGCGGCATGAACAATCGTGGTGGACGAGGCGGCGGCATGGGCATGGGCAACATAGGCGGGGGCATGAACATGCCAATGGGAGGCAACATGATGGGCATGGGTGGAGGTATGATGGGAATGCCAGGTAACATGGGTATGATGGGAGGAATGGGTATGTGGAGTTTGTCTTATCATTCCCCCAAACGCTCCAAGTGAGTGTTGTCTTGCCGGGGAATCTGCTAACATCAAATCTCTCACAGGTGGTCCTGGCGGCTTTGGCGGTAACCAGCCTCACTTCAACCCGGCATTCTTCAATCAGAACCAAGGCGGCGACGGTAACTGGAATCCTCACGGCGCGAAACGTCCTCGACCGGAATAACCGCTAATGCTTGAGTCTCACTTGTAGGTTTGGGTTTCTCTCCCACTCCCGGTCTTTCGCCCACCGTTTCAGACAGTCCTGCATTTTCTTCATCTCCCTTAGATTACAACCAAAACCTACCCGCGAAGCCTCCATCTACGCCATGGTCCACTGCTCGTATGAAACGAAGACGACCTCATTGAATTCCGCGTCATGGCCGGACAGGCTATCCTCGACCCGAAGTCAATCCAAGCATTTCCACTCGTCCTTACGACTTCGGCTCGTTTACTTCGGACTCCGGCTATCGAGAACGGAGTATTTAATTCTTCTTTCCGCTCCGGACTCCACTCGCTGAATGGCCATACGTCCCACCCGGGTTGGACACCCACGGGACTGGTTTGTTCGTCCCATTATTTTGGTGCTCGGCGCAGGAATCTGAGTTGGGAAAGCATTTTTGGAAGGCACTCAAACTAGGGAATAAAAATTTCTTGTGTATCTCGTTTTTTTTCTTATTCTTGCACTCTGCATGGTGTTGCGGCGTCTGTTGCCTTGTAAGGCCTGTGTGGCTGTCATGTTGTTTCCCCCGAAGGGAGATTCCGTTTGAGTTATGCTTAGAGCTCCTATATAACTCATCTAATGTCTCCTACAGCTTCGGCTCTATTCTTATGCCTACGAGGGTGGCGTCTTGGATACTAGCTCACTTGGAAGCCACTGTACGATTACGAAAGGAGGCTCACTCTTGTACAGTACCTATAGTATTGCCTTGGATGTAATTGTAGTAGAGGCGTCATGGGATGTTTTTGCACAACTCAACCTCTGGGCAACAATTGGAATGGACAGGTGGCCTATAAGTTCAGAAATGCTGCTACATGGAACTAGCGGTTGCCTGCTGCTCAGCGCACATGGTCCATTTTGATAACCACTTCCATTGCATTGAAAACCGTGCTTCTCCAGCTTGATATCCTAGGAATCCTCTGAAGCACAGCTTCGGTATACCCCTCGATGCCCAGCTAGGAAGACGACAGAACTCCCCACAGTATTATCCAAATCTCACGGAATCGACAAATTCCGCGAGAACTCGGCTCTGCGATTCTTGGCGGAAAAATAGCGCCCCTGGTTCATCTGGATATTAGGCCCGCCGGGACCTGCATATGAATATACCCGGCTCTATGCTTGTCAAACGTCCCTGCACCCTCAGACGATTTCTTTTGGCCAATCACATTCTCCAACCATAGATTAGATGTCTCTAGATCTCTTCTTATTTCTAGATTTTCTCCGATCAGGCTTGTAATCATGCGTTGTTCAAATAAGTATCCAATTTCACTAGGTTGAAGCGGATGCGCTAGAACATTTCAAACGCGGCTCTGGGAAGGGATTGAAGGGTGAGTGGTGTTATTGCGGGGTGGGATAGTGTCAAGAACCTGGGAAAAATTTGTCTGGGGTGGTGCAGGTGAAGTGCAAGACTTATATTGGGGGTTGCGGGCGCTGGTATATTTCTGGCGGTCTGCACTTCTGAAACATTTCTTGGTGGAGCTTCAATTTGTGATCTGAGACTTCAATATGGTTTCTGGTATCACGAAGCCAATTCTACTGGGGGCTGCGGTGACTTCTCTGCATGGTGTGCATGCGGCTAGCGCCCCTTGGGCACAGTGTGAGTTGAGATTTGCAAGAGTAAGAGTGAGTTGAAGAGATGCTAATGGTGTCAGGTGGCGGAATCGGCTTCTCTGGAGACACTACATGTACTTCGGGCTATTACTGCAAAGTCCAGAATGACTGTAAGTCTACTAAAACCATCCTTCAACGTCACTAACATGTCACTAGATTACTCTCAATGCATACAAGGAAACGCACCAGTAGCAAGCTCTAGCTCCACAAAACCTAGCTCAACGCTCACAACTATCATCAAACTCTCCTCTTCCTCATCCGCCAAACTTAGCTCATCCGCATCCGCATCTCCAACCACCGGTGGAACGAAATGTACTGGGACATTCACTCCTATCTCCGCATCCTCCTTCATCGCCGCCATGAACCCAGGCTGGAATCTTGGAAACACGCTCGACGCCGTGCAAAACGAAGGCGACTGGAACAACCCGCCCGTCGTCGCCTCCACATTCGACGATGTCAAAGTGGCCGGTTTCAAAGGCGTCCGACTGCCTGTGACTTGGGCGTACCACTTCACCGGCAGCTCTCCGGATTGGACTGTTGACCCAACATGGCTACAGAGAGTTTCAGATGTACTCGACATGATCACGAGCCGTGGGTTTTACACAATCGTCAACGCCCACCACGACTCTTGGGTCTGGGCGGATATCACCCAAGCTAACGCTAATATAACTATGATTGAGGAGAAGTTTTATAGACTGTGGTATCAGGTTGGCACTAAGTTGGCATGTAAAGGCAGTATGGTGGCTTTTGAACCGATCAACGAACCCCCTGGGACTACGGCTGAGCACGGTGCCGAACTCAACAAACTTAACGGCATATTCTTGCAGGCTATCAACGACGCCGGGGGCTTCAATACACAGAGAGTTGTAACCTTAGTGAATGCAGGAGAGGATGGAGTGAAGACAAGCCAATGGTTCAAACGACCCGATGCGAAGTTCAAGAACCCATGGGCGATTCAGTACCATTACTACTCTCCATGTAGGTCCACCATCTTGCATATGCCCTATTATAGTTTCTTACTAGCATATAATAGACGACTTCATCTTCCAAGCTTGGGGCAAAACGACCTGGGGCTCCGCTGCCGACCAAGCCAGCCTGGAAGCTGACCTCGCGGCCGTCCGCGGCAACTTCACCGACGTGCCCCTCGTGATCGGAGAATGGAGTGCCTCACCAACCGCAACTGAAACTAGCGCTCGATGGCGCTACTTCGACTTCTTCATCCGCACAGCCGCAAAATATAATACAGTGCCTATTATGTGGGACAACGGCGCCGACTTTCTTAACCGCGCGACACATCAGTGGCGAGATACGGTGGCTATGGACATCATGACTAACGCAAGCAAGGGGATTGCAAACGCGCTGCCCGATAGCACGACCGATGGCAGTGTAACGAGTCAAAGTAGTTCCGCATACATCTACCACAAACTCAACACGAGCATAACCGACCAAACCCTGCCTTTCCTACTCAACGGTAACAGCTTCAAATCCGCAACCCTTGCGTCCACAGGCAAGTCCCTAGTCTCGGGAACAGACTACTCCATCTCTGGATCCTCGATTACCTTCAAATCCACCTTCTTATCCACCATTCTTACACCAACCACGCCAACCGGCTCCATCGCCAACCTCACCCTCACTTTCTCCACCGGCGCAAGCCTCCTCGTAAACATCCTATCCTACTCCACACCCACCATCTCCCCCACTTCCTCCGCCCTCCCCTCCGTCTCTGCAGACCTCTTGATCCCAATAACCTGGGCCGGACAGAACCGCCCCGCAGCCGTAAAAGCGGTGAAGAGTGACGGAACGTTTTTGGTGGACGATTGGACACAGTATCTCGGGCCATTGCAGCAGGGAAGGATGACGTATTCTGGGCAGTGGGATTGGGATGGTAGTCATGTGGTTTTGAAGGCTGCGGTATTGGATGCCGTTAGGAGTGCAGGGAAGAGCACTGTTTTTACGATTGAGTTTTATCCTAGGGTGGAGGGGAATAGCGTGAACTATACGCTCACGGTGTGAGGGGATGGGGTGGGATGGGATAGGTAGGGAAGTTAGGTTTAAGGAACTGGTGGAGTAGGTTAGTGGCTCTGGCACTAGCGGCTGCTGAGTTGCGTTTCTTTTGTATATATTGCACATATTCTCACTGTATATATTTTGCTTCACCACCCGTAAATCCCTTAACATATTTTGAAAACCAGATACATGAATTTCCTACAATCCTCAATCTGCACCCAATAAACTATTTAAATCTTACCAAGGAGCAGAAGTGGTATTGACGCAAAAAGCCATCCATCCATCCTCCATCCATCCATCCATCCCATCAAACCAAGCGAAACTACTTCAACCCACTACTTCCCGAGATATCAGCTAGATAGCCAGGAGAAAGATACTATTAGAACCCCGAGTGATCTTGTACTGTTGTGGGTAGCAATAACCTTTTACGAAAGACGGATACATATCTATCCATCCCATAACCACAGGCTTACTCTTCCAGATACGATAACTTCCGCATCTCACCAAGCCTTGTCCTCGCCTGCCCTAGAGCGTTTTCGAGTTGCAAGATCTCGACCTATAAGCCACATTAGCTAACTTAATAAATCTCCAAACACGACAAGGGGATCCCATACCTGTTGTTCCATTTGTCTAACCTTAAACTCATGATCACTCAACTTAGTATAATCCACCGCCTCATTATCTTCCAAATTCTTCTTAGAAATGATATCCTGCACCTGCCTCACAAGCGCACGGCAAGCGCCCGTTACCGCTTTCGATGCCGTCTCGAGTCGATCTTGGCTCTTGCTCATGAAGCTTGCCTTGACCCTGCTAGCTGCCACAAGCTGTGCTGTGGAGGCCGCGACGTCGTTGGAAGCCACTATGAGCTGTTCAGGAGAGTTACGACCCGAGATGACGCCGTCGGCGGTTTCGATGAGCGTGTTTGTCGACGAGGCAACGGCTTTGGCGGCGCTGATGAGACCTTCGGTCCAGCGGTTGTGCTTCTTGTAGAAGGCTGTACGCGTCATGGTGCCGCGGCCCTCGCGCACAATTTCTTGTTGGGAGGCAGTGGCGGCCTTGATGAGCTGAGCAATGGCGTTTGTGACAGCGATGGCAGCTTCGAGGATGGAGTCGTGGATCTTGAGTTCGTAAGTGGAGTATTGATCCCTTGGCTTCTTCATAAGCTTTGTGAGGCGCTCTGTGGCGGCATCGATGGCGTTGGCAGCCTTAGTCAATTCGCTGTCGACTAAGTCTCCAAGGTCACCCTGAGCCTGTGTGATCTTGCTCTTTGGCGCGAAAGCATCCGCCAACTTGGTGAGGTTCTGGAGGTACCGTAAAACTTCAGTGTTGCTGTTCAAAACAACGTCGAATTTCCGGTCCGTATCGAGGTCATACAAACGTACAGACTGGAGATTGCGGAAGAACTTGACAGTAGAGTTGGCAGACTGTCTAGCGCCGTTGATAAGTTGATCGGCCTTATTCTCATCCGAAGCAAATCGAGTAAGACCCTTAGTGTTGCTAAGAACATCAGCGATGGAGCCAGCGAATGTATTCACGGTCTTGATGACCTCTGTGTGTGTTGCGTTAGGTCCGTCAGCAATGAAGTTGTTAAAGGCCGTTGCAAACTCTGTAGCGCAGGTTTGCGCTTTCTCGATCTGTGACAACACATACGGGCCAGATGCGTTTTGATTACCAGCTTGCATTGAAGAATCCAGTTCGTAGATTGCGTCATCGACTCGCTGTACGCCGCTCTGTAGGACTGAGTCAATGATGTCGTTGATCTTTTGGAGGCTCTCTTGAATAAAGGAGTCAAGTTGACCATCAATGGCGCTGTCGTTGGCGTTCTGTGATAGCTTCAGTTCGTTGAGCTCGAGCAGAGTTTGGTCCATGCCGGCCCTAAAAATCTCTAATTCCTCTTCCTTCTCACGGAGTTGACGTTCAAGGTCGGAGTCGCCTTCTCGGTACTTCATGTGCATGTCATCGAGCGCACGAGTCTTGTTTCTCAGTGTCTCTTCCAGGTCTGCGATTTCTCTGTTGTGCCTAAAAAGAATGGTTGAAAGCTCTGAGCTCTTGCTTTTCTCTGCGTTGTCGGCCTTCTCTAATGCGAAGCGAAGCTCACGCTTGAGCTTCTCGAGCTCCTCGCGATGGCCGCCGGTGCTTCGGTCTTTGTCTAAAAGAGCTCGGTCTCGCTCTCGGATCATATCTGCCAATTCCAGATTCTTCGTCTTCAGCTCTCGAGCCAGCTTCTCTCGGCCATCCATTGCCTCCTGGGCTGAATTAGCCTTGAGCTGCACAGACTTGAATTTCTGCAACAGCTGAAGATGCTCATGCCGTAGCTGTGAGTAGAGCTTGGCAAGAGACTCGTACTTCGACCTCCAAGTGTTAAGCTGTTCCTGAAGAGCTCGTATTTGATCATCGCGTGATCCCATCTGCTGTTGAAAGTTCGCGTTCATTTGATTTATTTCTCCCTCCAAAGCTTTCATTCTCTGGTCGTATTGCTGCAACATCAGCTGGTCGCGCTCGTACTGGGCTCGGGCATTGAGGTTCTCTCGCTCAAGTTCGGCGAGGCGGCCTTGGGTCTGTTGTTGATACTGGTCCCTTAAAAGTTGTTCTTGGGCTAGACGGGCTTGTTCAGCCTGCAGCCTCTGTTGCTCTTCGAAATCTCGCTGAGCACGGAGAGCAGCTTCTTGCTGTTGACGTTGGGCCACCTCCCATTGCTCTTGGAGCCTCCGCTGTTCATTCTCGTACTCCTCTTGCTGCCTCCTCTGATCATTCTTCCAAAACTCATTGATCGGTTCGGGATCTACAGACGGAGCTCGAGGAGGGGGCGGCGGTTCTTCGTTTTTGGGCCGGGCAGGTAATGCTGGAGCCCTCTCATCGTCCTCAGAGAGCAGATTTGGCGGGTCCTGCGGTAGTTTTGGCACCGTAATCAAGCTAGTCAGGTACCTCAAATTCGAGCATTCATAGTAAAACTTCACCAAGCGGTAGTGCTGAGCGTCATATCGACCACGTAAAGGGGAAAGTGCTTCATCATCGCCAAGCGCTGTAAATGTCAGCCTGAAGCAATTCAAAGACCAGACGACCATGCTTACTGGTGTGCATAGCACGCAACATGCTGGTTATAAATTTGTAGATGCCATAGCTCTCCTGCACCAGGGGCACAAGCGCAGATATCCGGCATTCGTTGTTGGCGCCGCTTCGGAAATGCGAGAAGATGAGCTTCTGGAATGCGTCGATCTGATCTTGGAGCGTCATCAAGTCAGAGATCGTCTCATAACTGTCCAATGTTAGCCAAGTCAACGAATTCCCTGGCATTTAAAGCTCCTACCCCTCATTCGGGTCATTGATGGACTTCAGACTGATGTACTCCTCATATTCGAATGTCCCTTCCAAGTCATTAGTCTGTTGTTGATCAAGGGAGCACCGAGCGTACCGTTGAACTCGGGGTGCTGCCGGTGGAAAGCGAGCTTGGCGAGGAGGAAGTAAATATACTCCTGAATGAGTGGTCCGTAGCCTGTTGCATGATTTAGAACAAGTCCTTTTGCGTAGAAATTAAGGGCGAGCGTTTCTCTCGTACCGCGCAACCCCTCACCGCCTGCAACGCCCCTCGTCAAGCTCTCCAACCAGTTCACGTTCGCCTGCGCCTCCTTGAGAACGATGGGGTGGCCTTCTTGAAGGACTTTGTGGATGGTGATGAGGGCCTTGAAGGTCTGCACCTCGTCGGCAAGGATTGGTTGTCTGGAGGAAGTCTTAGATTAGATTGGACACGGTAGGGCAGCTACGGAGCTCGGCGGTTCGACGTACACCTTCATGCCTTGCCAAAAGGAGCCCGAGTTCTTGTGGTCCCAGGTATACACAATGCAGCTGCGGACATGCTTCCCTACGCCAGCATAAGCTATTTCATAATTGCAGAAGTCGTCTGTCGGTGCCTACGCTTCGGCGCTGTCTCATCTGGAGCATAGCTGTTAGCAGAAGCCTGGGAGGCGGGCGACGGTCGAGGAGCGCACCAATGCTTGTTGCCTTGCGGATGTTGATGGCCAGATCCGACTCCTGCCTGTAAATTATGTCAGAAAAGCTGCTCGAGCTTGGGGGGGACAAGCACGGCGAAACTCACTTCCCCATGTCCACATTGCGCGAGGATCCGTACAGCGCCATTTCGGGGGTGGCTGCCTTCGCAAGCACTCGACAGCCCAGTTGCGGTCAGAGTATGGACAATGAAGCAGTGGACAAGGCAAAAAGATGGAGAAGTGTTCGAACTGCAAAAATATGCTGGAGGGACCAAGGCTAGCGTCTGGTGTGGAGGGGATGTGTTGTCTTGAGCTCTCCACGGCTCTGTTACTGAGGTGCTCCGTGCTGTCAGAACGCCTTGGCACAAGCCTCCAGATGACGAAGCTCCCCGCCACTCAACGTGGATGTGCAACAAAATTTGTTCGTTGCCTCAAGATCCTTCTCCAGCTCACACGCGCAGCTGCATGCACAATCACACCCTTCTGAGTTGTCATTCGTAAGGGGGGGTGGGGGAACTCAAATAAGGCTGCGCCAAGACCTTGAATTCACCAGTTCAGTTCACCATGCAGGACAACGCATCCGATCATCAGGAACTCCATGTCATTCTACCTACTGCTCCGATCTCGAGTTGAAGAGATGTCTGCCCCACCAACGCCACGCAATGCAGAAAATACGCCCGCTAATGCTTGAAAGCTAAATGAATAGATAAGTGAAGCTGACAGTCTACCGGACGGGATCACTCTTGCCTAGGTAGGCAGCCATCGGGTCGTTGGCTTGAGTTCTCTTCCGCCTATACTCCTCCATCTCTTCTTCCGTGACGCCGCTGGTCATCTCGTGCAGAGTGCGTTTCCTTCGTGACGAGTCTTGCTTAGATTTCTGATCGCTCTCCACGGCGTTCGGAACGTGCTCTTCGAGAGCTTCTTCCTCCCTCCAGGCGACTGCTTTGGGCACCTCTTCCATATCCGCAGCAGTCCGCAATCGATCCGCCTCCTCGAACGCCTTCTTGCCGTCCTCGCCAGTGCAGTAGCTGTTCTTAACCGTTGAGTGACAACATGCATATCCCCATTGGAAATTTGACCACCAGCTTCCCCAGACAGACTTGTGGTTGTTGATAAGGATGTCTTCTGGATACTTCGACTTGGCCTTGGCAATAGGTGCTCCCTTGATGCGGCCTCGCTCGTCGTACTCGACGTAGCGCTCTGACTCCGTCACTGCAAGCTTTTTGAGAGTGTCATCCTTGAACTGTTCCTGGACTCCGTATTTCTCAGCCAAGGCCTTGCGCTGCGCTGCTTTTTTCTCCTCGGCTTCCTGCAGCTCCTTCTTCCGGAAGTATTCGCCAGACGTGGGATTGGCTTGGAGGTGTATCTTGTTCTTGTCTCCGCGCTCTTGCGTCTCCCAGGCATATCGTTGTGCCTTTTCAAATTCCGCCGCGTCTCCTGACGCCCTCATGAAGCCTTCTTCAGCAACCAGAGCCGCGGCATTGTCCGCCGTTACCCCGCTATCCACCATTGATCGTGTCTTAGGATCGTATTTTGCCGAGTCGAGGTCCAGATTTAGTAGATATTTAGCCGTGTCCTCTCGTAGTCGCAGCTGCCTGGTTGATGTCGCCTGTTTCCTCCCCATATCCGTCTCCGCATCGTATTTGTCGCCGTCGTCTTCCTCGTCGTCTGACCCAGACTTCTTCTCGGCATTCGCTTCCTTGGCTTTTTTCTTCAATTCCTCAAGCTCGTTGTATTCTTCGATGACGGCATTGTAGTCCGACGCCTCATAGCCATTCCACCGATCTCGCTTTGCATCCCAGCCCAACTGCACATCTTGGACCAGCTCATCAGCTTCAATATCCCTGCCCGTCCACTTTGCGCCTGCCTTGCGAGGGCGGCTTAGGCAGTCCTTCTTCTTGTGGGTCATGGCTCCGCAATTCTCGCATGCGCCCTTGCGGAACTTGGTCGCGGCAGGGGCGGCCTTGCGTCCTCGGTCGTACCATTTTGAATCGGCTTCTTGTTTCTGTAGACGCTGATGCTCTAGGTAGTCGGTGTCTGACCCGGACTCGTCGATGGCGTAGAATGGTTTCTTGGAGATGAAGGCCGGGATATACTCGTTGCGCTCCTTGTTTGTTGCGGAGACATCGGCAGGCTTTCGCGGCTGTGCAGGAGGCATGACGAGTTCCAGCTCTATTCACTAAACTAATGAAGGCTTGCAAAGGCTCTAGAGGATGTTGTTTGGGAGGTTCGCTGGTGGTGGAGGAGTGGAGGCGAGCCGAGGTACCAAACAGTATTAGCGTCGTAAGGCTGCCATCTTGGCGATCGCTTCCCGTGATTGCGCGTTCTCCCCGCCGCTTTGTTGTTCACCCCGTGACCCCAACCATGACGCGCTTGCATTCACCCTTCACACCATATTGGGAGATAGTCTAAGCCTCCCGTCTATCCTGGAGACATATTTTATCAGCACCATGCAGCATCTTCTACTACGACATTTCCTGCTTCTACTGCCCAGTCCTCCATGGAGACGTTTCGCTTCCGCCTGAACTGCATCGATCACTATCAATCTACCCCTACAGACCTCGATCCCGTGCTACGTCGACGCGCGGGGCCATCTCAGCGCCAGAATGCCCCTCTTGTTCCGGTCATTCGAGTGTTTGGAGCTACCGAGACTGGCCAGAAAGTCTGCGCTCACATCCATGGGGCGCTACCCTATCTATACTTAGAGTATACTGGTAGCCTGGACAAGGAGGCTGGTAACCAGCACATCTAATGAGCTGCATCCTCAATGCTTACTTGGTGCAGTGAATTCGTATATTATCAGTCTTCGAGCGTCGATCGATTATGCACTTGCAGCTACGTACAGACGAAACGCATATGATGGCAAAGCCGTCTACGTTGGGCATATTACATTAGTGAAAGGTGTTCCATTCTATGGTTACAACGTTGGATACAAGCGCTTCCTTAAGGTCTACCTTCTGAACCCGTTGCATATGACCCGATTCGCAGACCTTCTGTATCAAGGAGCAATTTTGAACCGCCCCTTTCAGCCTTACGAAAGTCACCTCCAATACCTGCTCCAATGGATGTGCGATTACAATCTATATGGGTGCGCCTACATTGATTGTTCCAAGGTCCAGTTTAGAAGCCCCGTGCCTGACAAGGAGGAGATCGACACTACAGCCCACAGATGGCATGATGGGTCAATCCCAGAGCAATGCATCACCGAATCCGATCAGTATCCTCGCCAGAGCCATTGCACCCTTGAAGTCGATGTTTGTGTTCAGGACATCCTTAATCGATGCGAGGTAGAATCTCGCCCAATACATCATGACTTCCTTGAGCGTTTCAATGACATGAAGCCGGATGACAAATTCGTCCCTTCGATGGCTGGGTTATGGAGAGACGAGACACGTCGTCGAAAACTGCGTATGGGTCTTACCGATCCTTCTAGTAGTCCATTTCCAGCTGAAGTACTAGTATCTATGTCTGCTGATCCAAGAAACACCAATAAAGGAGGTTGGATACATGAAGAGGAGTATAGAGAACTTATAGAAAAGCTAATTCAAGAGGAGGACGAAAAGGACCCTACGGCAACCTTTGAAACCTTTGTCAAGCAGGTAGAGGGTGAAGAGCATATCAAGTCAGCTGTTGAGAGTGTCGAAGACCTTTACCCGTGGAATCTCCAACTTGAAAGCCCAGGCCCAGAAGAGCAGGTACATGGAGGCGTGGACGTACGGCCAAGTGCTGTGGAGAGTGAGATGCCGGGAGGGGAGCTTAATGAAAACGAAATCTTAGAGAGCGGTGATCAGGAAGAAGAGGATGTCGAAGATCAATCAGATGTGGAAGATCCGCTGTCGTTGGATCCGTTAAGCGTCTCAGAAGCATTACTTGACAGTTCTGACCTACGAGAAGACTCCAAAGAAGAGGACATTGACGAGGGATTCCATTTAGATGACGGAGATCAAGGCGAAGAGTCGGATACGTCGAGCACCTCACGGAAACGGCATCATCACGATCCTAGAGAACCATTGATCAAGCGACGAAGACTACTAATAGGCCCATCCCAGAAGGATTCGCAACGGGTTTCTTTTCGGGATAAAGTGGACGGAGCAGATACCGAGCAGTCGAGTATTTTACCCCAGAAAAACATTGGTGATTCCCTATCTCGGCATAGCCAGTCCTCGCAGACCAGTATCAAGGCTCAAGGGGTATCTATGTCTACCACCCTATCTTTTCCTGTCGTGAAAAATCCGAGTGCACCAGAGACTATACTTCGTCTCAGTCAATCTGGTTACTCTAACTCACAAGAGCTTCCACAAACGCCAACAATCAAGAGATTGACATTTAATGGCTCACATGAAACCCCCAAAACCCCATGGAGTAACTTGAAGACCTCTTCGGTAGGGGCAAGCCCTAGCGTTCAAGCAGAAGCCACATCTCTTGCCATGCAACTCAAGAAAACCTTCGCACATTCCCCGAGAACACTGTACTATGGATCCCTCCCACCTTCGGTTGACCTAGTCGAGGGTACCATGATGGACGCTGGGTTACCTCCAGTCATTTACCAGGATGCATATTATAGTGATGAAAGTGACGTACCTGATCGACCACGAGAGTATGCCGGTCGAGAATTCAGACTTCAAAGTTCAACGTTGCCCTACCTGCCTGCCTTCAATCCGACTGGTACCTCGGCTGCCAGTTTTGGACAGCACCCGCCGATCGTCTTGGATAGAACTAAAGAAGATACGCTCAATCGCATCCGAAGACATAGATGTACACTTCGTCATTGGGAAATCCATACCGCACCACCATCGTTTGAGGAAGTCGACGCCTGGTTCCACCTGGAATTCGGACGAGACCCTACCCGAACTCCCGAAATGAAACCCAAAACAGAATCGAAAACTTTTTCGAAGGAGTTATCACAAATTGAAGGACCTACACAAAAGAACAAGCATGGATTTAAAGATTCTCAACAGCGTCAATCCACGAGCGTCAAACACGAAACTCAATACATGAGTATTATGAGTCTAGAAGTACATATCAACTCGAGGGGCTCCTTGGTCCCAGATCCAGCCGAAGATGAGATTGGCTGCATTTTCTGGTGCATTCAAGGCGAGGAAGATGCGAGTGACGATCGTCCCCGAGTTGGTATTCTTTGCCTTTCCGAAGAAGATGGCATTGCTAAGCGCATCAAGAAGCAAGTGTCCGTGGAGGTGGAATACGAGGAAGACGAACTCGAGCTCATTAATAGGATGGTAGACATTGTCCGCCAATTTGATCCCGATATTATCACCGGCTATGAAGTTCACAATAGCTCATGGGGTTACCTCATAGAACGAGCGCGGATGAAATACGAATATAACCTATGCGACGAGATCTCCAGAGTAAAGTCGCAATCTCACGGCAGATTCGGGAAAGAAGCGGATCGCTGGGGATTCACCCATACCTCCACCATTCGAGTTACGGGCCGCCATATGATCAATATCTGGCGTGCAATGCGAGGAGAACTAAATCTCCTCCAGTACACAATGGAGAATGTTGTATTCCATCTACTCCACAAACGTATACCTCACTACCTGCACTCCGACCTAACTGCCTGGTATACAAGCTCCAAGTCACGCGACTTGGCAAAGGTCCTTCAATACTACATTTCCAGAGTCCAGTTGAACCTCGACATATTGGAGGCAAACGAGATCGTTCCCCGCACAAGCGAACAGGCTCGCCTTCTTGGTGTCGACTTCTTCTCGGTTATATCTCGCGGGTCTCAATTTAAGGTCGAATCTACCATGTTCCGAATCGCAAAACCCGAAAATTTCATCCTCGTCTCTCCCAGTCGCAAGCAAGTAGGCCATCAAAACGCGTTAGAATGCCTACCATTAGTTATGGAGCCTCAAAGCGCCTTCTATAGTAGTCCTCTCCTTGTACTAGATTTCCAGTCTCTCTACCCTAGCGTGATGATTGCATACAACTACTGCTACTCTACATGCCTTGGCCGAGTCGTGAGCTGGCGCGGTCGCAACAAAATGGGCTTCATGGACATCAAACGGGAACCCCAGCTGTTAAAGCTCGTAAAAGACTACATTAATATTGCTCCGAACGGAATGATGTATGTTAAACCGGAGATGCGGAAGTCATTATTAGCTAAGATGCTGGGCGAGATCCTCGAGACGCGTGTTATGGTGAAGAGTGGGATGAAAATAGACAAAGACGATAAGATGCTGCAACAGCTGTTGAACAATAGGCAGCTGGCCCTCAAGCTGCTTGCTAATGTCACATATGGATACACATCAGCCTCCTTCTCAGGTCGCATGCCTTGCTCTGAAATAGCAGACAGCATCGTGCAGACTGGGCGAGAGACTTTAGAAAAGGCCATCGCTTTGATTCACTCGGTCGAGAAATGGGGCGCTGAGGTCGTCTATGGGGATACGGATTCCCTTTTTGTCTACCTCAAGGGTCGCACTCGGGATCAAGCCTTTGTTATTGGCGAAGAAATCGCAGAGGCAGTGACCAAAGCAAATCCACGCCCAGTCAAGCTCAAGTTTGAGAAGGTGTATCACCCCTGCGTCCTCCTAGCCAAGAAACGTTATGTCGGCTTCAAATACGAATCCCGATCTCAGAAGGAGCCCGAGTTCGATGCCAAAGGTATTGAAACCGTTCGTCGAGATGGTACACCTGCCGAGCAAAAGATTGAGGAGAAAGCCCTGAAGATTCTTTTTCGAACGAGTGATCTATCGGAAGTGAAAAGGTACTTCCAGAGCCAGTGCACCAAAATCATGTCTGGTCACATCAGTGTCCAAGACTTCCTCTTTGCCAAAGAAGTCAAATTAGGCACATATTCCGACCGCGGGCCGCCTCCACCAGGCGCTCTCATCGCAGCAAAGCGCATGCTTGCGGATCCAAGGACTGAACCCCAATACGGCGAGCGAGTCCCATATGTCGTTATTACAGGCGCACCCGGTGCCCGTCTCATCGACCGATGCGTCAGCCCGGAGATGCTCCTCCAAAACGACCATATCGAGCTTGACGCGGAGTACTACATTTCGAAGAATCTCATTCCACCACTTGAACGCATCTTCAACCTCGTCGGCGCAAACGTACGACAATGGTATGATGAGATGCCAAAAGTCCAACGTATCCGCAGCATCACACTCCCCATCAGCAAACCCGATGCCGGAAATGGAAACTCTCTTCTCTCAGGCGGAACAACGAATCTTAAGAAGACGCTTGAAAGCTACATGAAAAGCTCTATATGCCTAGTATGCCGCTACAAACTCCCTCCTCTTCCTCCCATGGTTCCTGGAATGGAACTCGATGCATTTGCTTTGCTGCCACTTTGCTCTACGTGTCTTGCGAGACCGGCGAGGGCGTTGCTAGCACTGAAAGATAGGCTGTGGAAAACGGAACAGCGTGCTAAGCAGATTAATATGGTGTGTCGGAGTTGCTCAGGGTTAGCATGGGGGGAAGAAGTTAAGTGTAATAGTAGGGATTGCCCCGTGTTTTATACACGTATAAGGGAACGTGCCAAGTTGGTAGGGCTGAAAGAAAGTATAGGGAATGTCGTTGAGGTTTTGGAGGAGGAGAGAGGTGAGGCTAAAGTCAACGTTGCGCAAGAAGAGGACGAAGAGGAGGAGGATATTCTAAGTGAAGACCTGGAATGGTAGGATTCTAGGTATAGTTAGCGAATGGTTTGCCTTTGTTTGGATTACTGTCATGCTCGTCCTGCTTCTGAGTAAAACTCGTTAACCCCAAAAGAGCCGCCTCCGCTATCGCTTTAACCAGATAGTCAAGCTTGCTTGTTTGCAAATTAAGAAATCTTTCTCTACATCACTTTCACCAACGTATAAGAACAAGTAGGGCTCCGGCGTACCATGACCCCAGCATTTATTCCTCACTATGTTGGAGGAAATTTGGTTGCCAACGCCTTGTCCTAGGCCTGGGTTGTTCTTTGAACGCCCGTAGTGTACGGAAGGACCACTACTCTCGCAACAACCTTCCGCCTCCTCCCCGCACACGGCCATCACAACCTCGGATTTTTGCAAGTCCTGCAATGAATGATTACATAACCTCAATAGTAGAAAATAGTTTTGGTATAAAGAATTGGCAACGCCATCTTACTACACCCGCGAAACCAAACCCCACATCTCAATCACGCGGCGTAGCTCCACGACCGAGCATGCATCTCTTTGGGTCCTTCCGTCATCTATCTGCGGAAGCACTAATATTCAAGCCGCCCAGCAGCTGCTGCAATTCAGCGTCTACCCGCACAATCCGTCCGACTCTGTATCTAATTCCCTTCCTTAGTCCCGAGCAGTACGAACGTGAGTAATAGTAGCTCCTGTTACAGCACCGGCACCCATTTGGGTACAACTGCGTCTGGTACTCGAGCCAGCTTTGTTCCGAGTCTTTTGAGGAGGTTCGAAACATGTCGCTGATCTAGATGTATGCTTTCTTTTGCAATCCTTTCCTTTTACAACACCTCTTCACAACATTATCATTTGCTTCACTGTATACGCACAAAGAACCCCACTATCCTCCAGGCCACGAAGAAGCCTTAAGTGGGTATACGATGTTCAGGAGCCCTGAACCTTTAATCATTTAATGCGGAATGATTGTGTACTTACATCGCACAGGTATAATTTGCAATGCACACCGAAGCAGTCTATATAACGGCTTTCAAGTAGGCAACAAGATCCTTTCCTCATCACTCTCGATGAACCCACCCTCACCCCGGCAAGCTTCAGTTGAATAACTTCCTTCACTAACCTTCCAGAACCAAGAATACGTGTTCGAGCGACTAAAAGTCACTGAAATTGAGGTCAGCTTCAGGGCCAATATTAAAGAACACCTTTCAGATCTTGTTTTTTTTTACGCTCTTCCATCCTCAAGCTCAATCTTTAAAGTATTAAGCCACGTCTCTGTTGGTCGCCATGTGTCCGCCGCCTCCAGTAACAGCGGTGGTCGTGCCGTAAGAATGATCGAGTCTGTCTCTACTCCCAACTGCTCCAACCAGTTCGCACATTGGCAGCAGTAAGGTTACCATTATGGAGAATGAGCAATGGCTATTCGCTGGTCTGGCCACGATTCTTTTCACATGAGCCGTATAATGTCGACGGAATGTCGACTCGCAAGTATTCTAGCACCCATGTCCCCAGCTCATTGAACAATGCGGTCTATCGCGATATGTCCCATGTAACGACATTGTAGTCAGCTTCTGAATCTGGAGGTAATGCAACTCGTCGTTGAACTATGATGGCTGATCTCCTGCCGAATTCCTCCAACTTCCATAGGTTCAACTCTCACCGCACGCATGCCACTGTCGTAGAACTACTCACCAGTTGGCCTTTCACTCCCAGAATTCACACTCTAGTCGTGGCTCCCACTAGACTCCTACTACAGGCCATGCCGTGCCGTGTTCTTCATACGTAGAACTTCTTCACTTTTAGTATATACACGCATAATAAATCCCAAGGAGGTAGGTCTATTTGCCGTTACCATCTTACCTCACGAAGTAACCCCTGTTCCTAGGTAGCGGGACACCCGCCGTGCCGAGACGCATCTATGGTTTAGGCATCGTAAGTCTTTCCCTTATAATTCAAGGGTTATGGTTAATATATTACTATAACCCTGTGGCTGGAGCAGGTCGGCCATCCTCTCTGCTAGCGGGGCCAAGGTGCAGGCTGAACAACATGCATTTCTTGTTCAAGCGACTTGCCCATTTAAATCAGCACCTCAGCCTTTAACCCGCCTAATGCGTTCACCCCCCACAACTTTTGTTTCACGGCAAACCACTGTTGCGATATGATTAGCAGCGTAAGTGAGCAGCACCCGCAAAAGTGATGCTACTATCCTGACTGATATACTTAGAAGTGACTGAAAATCACCTGTTGTGATGCAGTTCTCCGCTGTTTCGCCGCCTCGCCGCCTCACCACTTACCTTACGCCAACTAGTCAAAGTGGGCGACTGTATTAGTATAATCGGGAGTTATTTTACAATTATAGGATTCTACTTCCAGAATGCAGCTATGAGTCTTGTGAGCAAGGGCCAGAGTAATGGCAGAGTGGACGAGTGGAACAACAGAGTGCGCAGTAGTGCTGTACTAAATTTTATATTAATCACTATTTTCACAAGAGCTTTTCTACATTCTCTGGAGGTTATATTCGCCCAGAGCTCTGAAAGATACCATAGGAATTGCCCAAGCCCATGTCAGTCACCACATCCGGAGCGGATACAGATCCTCAAGCCTAGTATTAAGCTTGCCCCCGTCTTTTCAATGGTAATATTCACAGCCGGTGGATTCTTTATATATTATAGCAGGATTACAAACGCATTACCTAACGCCGAAACATGTCCCACGTTATCAACTAATTCCATTGTTGCTGGATAGGGAGTCTAGTTTCTCTATACGTCTGTGGGGTCGTGGCTGCCGTCCCGGCTGTCCTTAGCCATTTACATGACTAGGAATCTGGCATAAAGGGAATCAGTCTAGCAGTATTCTTCTTAAAGGCCTAAAATGGTTCCAAAGCAAAGAAAATAAAGACTTGTCAGTGGTGGATGATGCACTTACAGTCGTCATTATTCTTGACGCCTATACCTCCATTGTCTCTGTCACATTTTCAATGCAAGAATACCTAGCAGCACGGCAATTAATTCAATAGGGCCTTGTTTTCGAATTTTCCGCTTTAGTTATCGTTGCAATAGTCATGGCAAAGCTGCCCACATTAACTCCAGATAACCCTGGTATTCTCTGCTAAGGTCTTACTGCATTGTGGCGGGAATCCCTTAATATCTGCGATGGCCCCCCAGCAAACTTCCAGCCGTACTTTTTTATTAAGATTTCTTGACTGGATGCACAACTTCTGGCTTTACATTTGGTACATGGGCCACTACGATGCTGGAGACAAAGCAAATAGAGCCGATCCCTATGCTGATTGCGATACTTTCATCATCAGCGAAAGCGGATACAATTCCATTCCAGCTACTACTTTTACGAAGTACTAGGATTGGCTTGCATTCTTTATCAGCTCCATTTTTAACTTAGAGCCAATACTTCGCTCACTTCGCCTGGACTATTCCGACGGCTGGGCTACTTGGGGCCAGAGCGCACTAATCACTGTGGTTATACTAAGTTGCTTACATTGGAGTTATTAGTTGTATTCAATATTCAAACCCAAAAATGAATAGGAGACAAGAAGTTTGCTACAGATCTGCAGATTGTTATTAGGCTCCAACCCTCATCAACTGCAACTGTCCAGACAATGCCGCTACGTCTCAGCCATATTCCCGTACATCCTCAGAGTAGTTAATCAAAGCCATCCATTCCTTAAGCTCCGTTTGCGATCTGCAGATCATGTCAGAATCGAATGCGAATGCAGGGCATGGAGAGAGGTTCGTCATTGCTTTTCCTTATTTCATTCCTGGAACCGAGAGGAGAGGCGAATACAATTATTACAAGGCCTAATGATGGGAGGGATACGACTAGTACAGGATTCGCTGGTAGAAAAATTTACTCAGAAACTATGGCGATGTCGATGTTGAAGTGAGAGACAATGGTGGGCAGATGCCGCTATCGCAGGCGGCACGGAACGGGGATAAGGACGTAGTTAAGCTAGTAGTTACCGCAGACGGAGTTGACGTTAACTTAAGGGACAACAGCGGATGGACACCACTATTATGGGCGGCACGGGACAGGCACGAGGTGGCGGTCCGGCTGCTAGTCGTTACAGATGGAGTTGAGATTAACTTAAAAGACAGTATTAGACGGACGTCGCTGTTTTGGGCAGCGCGGAATAGGCACGAGGTGGTGGTCGAGTTACTAGTCCCCGTAGACGGAATTGACGTTAATTCGAGGGACGGGACTAGACAGACGGCGCTATCTTGCGCGGTTGAGTGCGAGCACGAGGCGGTGGTCAAGATGTTAGTCGCCATAGGCAGAGTCAACGCCGATTCGAGGGATGGGGGCGGACGGACAGCGCTGCCGTACGCGGCTGAGAGCGGGCATGAGGCGGTGGTCAACCTGCTGCTTACCTTGGTCGGAGTTGACGTCCGTTTGAAAGACATGTACGGACGAACAGCATTGTCTTGGGCGGTACGGAGCGGGCATGAGGCAGTGGTCAAAGTGCTACGATCGTAGAACGCTTCTTAACCACCTCCCACTTCGTATCTGTTATTTGTTTCACTTGTATAGTTTGTGTACCTCTCTGCATAAGGGGGTGGAGGCTAGTTTCTTATATAGTTGTAATCACTTGCCACCTTTCTCTTAAGAATATTCTAGAGTAACAATAGTAGCAATGCGCGCATAATTTATAGTTGCTTTCTTCTTTGCTACATTTTTACGAGACAACTTACAGATTAACAGACTAAATGCAAATAAGCATTTCACACTAGAGGATGAAGATTATAGCGATAAGGCTGTTTTTATTGTATAACAAAACTACACATCGCCTTATCGCTTTAAACTCTATACAAATGGGGGCTAACTAGAACAAATAGTAGCCTAGTTTATAAAGTTCTTGTTGAATGGGCTCTTTCAGCTAGCTGCTTATGGTATGAGCACTTAAGTAGCAAGAGTTAGAGTAGTGTACGGTGTGCACAGCGTACGAAGTAGGTAGGGTGGGGGCAACATGTTTTTGGTTATTGCTCTGTCTCTTTCCTCCGTACGGAGGAAAAGGGGAATATCTACATGTTCGCGCACGGAGGTTCGCGCACGAGCATCATGTGACATAGTTACGTGATCCTTCTCGTGCGAAATAACTAGTATCCAGACTGTAACGCTGCTGCTGCGTACGGACAGTTCTTATATATATGCTATCTACTTATTAGTGCCCTAGCCATTCGTGAGCAGAGTGCAAAGTTAGAACAGTTAGGTTGGGAGACCTGGCTTAAGAGTGTCTAACAGAAATAGGGATACTTTGCTGCTTGATGTTACCACCGCTAGCGGGGAGGGCAGCCGACCCGCTCTGGCTACACCCTTGTTGTAAGGACGGAGCTCTGCACCACTGCGCCAATACAACCAGAAGGGTGCGAATAATCAACCAACGGTTGATTGTTGCGTACAGAATAGTATATATACCCGTCGCACGTAAGCGCCATCTCGGCCTTACACTTGTGAGGTGGCGATTTCTGTACATGTTTTCGGAGAGTCGACTCAGTTGACCGGGGGCATGGCTAAGGTTGAGTCGGGATTGCAAGGCAGCTAACCGGCGTGCCAAAGACCTGCACAGCCACAGGCTTTAGAGTATTAGTGAGTAAATTATGATGATTATGAGTACAAGCGGGGCTGTTTTGCACTAACCGGGATTGGAAGTTGCTTCAATTGGAAGTACTGGCCGGGGTAGCAATAAAATCATGCATGAATTTGCCTGCTTCAGCAGACACAAGGCTGATGATAGCTTACTGCATTATAGTTAGGCTCTAAGGCCCTGATATTACCCTTTTATCAGTATCGTGAGTGGTATGACCTTAGTCGTGATGCTGCAGCGAAGCAAAACTGTTACGCGCGAAAATCGGCCTTCTGAACGTAATTGCTGTGTAGGAAAAGGTATTAACTAGCTTAAATACTTAAAATTCGGCCTTTTAAATCACTTAAAGAGCTAAAAGTATTTAACAAAGGTTAAGTAGTAGATGCATTGTTAATTAAAGTTTAAGGTGCTAAAATTTAGTTAGGGTGGACTGTTTGCTTGTGTGGACCGCTCGCTTGTGAAAGACGTCACTGAAAGGTAGTACTCGTCATGACTACGTAATGTCTAATGTGTGTACGAGTATCTTCACAAGAGCCCAATTCCATCTGAAATTCGTTTACTTCGTATCCAAGAAAGTGTATAGTGCCTTAATCTTCCCTCCCACAATCGTCACAACATCTTTTCCATCACCCTGCTCTCCTTCTCTCGTGGTCCAACCCCCCATTTCACTCCAGCATACCATAGATCTTCGTCTTCGCTCTTTTTAAGAACGACGACCTCACCTATGAAGAATCAGTTACTGTGATCTCCCCTGCCGTCTCTATTCTCGAGTGAACTTTCGCCCAATGAAAACACCACTAGCTACGTAGCTCCCAACAATTAACATCCTGAACATATGACAAAGAGGGAGGTATCGTACTCAACTTACTGAACACATCTCCCGGACTCATTTCCTGTATCTTAGCTACTAGGTCGCTGATTCTCTGATGAGATTTAAACACGCCGATTGGATCGATGAACACAGTCTAGGAGGATGGTATCCAGAGAGCTGGTATAGTCTTCAGCCGTTTCGTCGCATCGGTCTCGTCGAAGATGAGATAGAGATTGCCTTTCGTAAGTTGGGTGGCTTGTTGCTTGGCCGTCATTGTGGTGATGTTCCGTGTCATGTGATAGGTGATGTACAATACTCTTTACACTCACATTTTAAAGAGCTTTATGCCATCAAATGCGACTTGAATAGCTCAATCGCTCAATGTCCGGTGTTTCCATCACAGCTTCACTAAGCTCTCGTGTCGTTCCAAGAATTTCTCTACGCACTTCACAAACCTCTCCAGTTCCTCCGCTGGCGTCCCGAGAATCAACGCAATACTTCCACGCCTCGTGATCCAGAACCCGTTTTCCATCATTTCGAACCAGAAAAGCTCCTTCAGGTCCATGTCATCCTTTTTCTCTCTTATGCTCTTCAACTCTCTCCTTCCATCCTTCAAGAAATGAACGCCAATGATAGTTCCTCTACCTGTTACAGTCATCTTCGTCCCCTGGCTGACTTTCTGCAATTTCTCCCTCAATCGACTACCAATCTCATTAAACCTGCGATTAACCTCTGGGGTGTAGACTTGCGAAAGCCCGACGTAGCCCGCAGCCATTCCCAGAGTGTTATTATTGAAGGTGCCTGAGTGAGCGAGGGCTGTCCCATCTCGCGGATCATACACCCTCATCACAGCTTCCCGGCCTCCAAAAGCCCCGAAAGTGATCCCACCGCCAAGGTACTTTCCTATGCTTGTTATATCGGGCGTCAACCCCTCAAGCTCCTGAAGCCCACCCGGTGCTAAACGACTTGTCATGACTTCATCTAAGATGAATACTGCGCCAACCTTACGCGCAGATTCTTGCACCTGGTGCAGAAACTCGTGAGTCCCAACGATGCAGGGGCCTGCACCCTGCATACCTTCCACTAGCACCGCTGCGATGTCCCCTGAGCGTTCGATCTTGGCTTTGGTGTCCTCGATGTTGTTATATTCGGCGATTACCCAGTCCTCCAGATCAACACAATTCTCTGCAGGTTGGTCCTCCGGGAAATAGAAGCATGCGCCATGGTAAGCACCGGTGAAGACTACGACTTTCCGTCTGCCGGTGAAGCGTCGTGCGCCTTGTATGGCGTGAAGATTAGCCTCAGTCCCTGAATTGGTAAAACGGACGAGATCAAGTTTGAAGCGGTTGCAAAGAAGTGCAGCGTATTGAGCTTCAAGCTTTGTCGTTGCGCCAAGATTGAGTCCAGTATTTTGGATTGTATCCACCAAAGTCTTCTGGATCGTAGGTTCGGAGTGGCCGTAGAGCCCGGCTGTGAGCTCGCCGACGAAATCTGTGTAGGTGTGGCCGTCTTCAGAGAACACCTGGTGTCCCTTCCCACTCTTCATGAACACTGGGAAAGGTGCGTTGTGTAGTAGGCTTCTGGTGTTTCCTCCTGGTAAGCTCTTGACGGCCTCTTCGTGCAATTTCAGGCTCGTTGAGTTGCGCACTACAAATCTTGCTTTTGCATCATCCAAGGCTTCGGTGGTTGTTTCATGCCCGCTTTTCATGTGAATCTTGATGTCCTCAACCGAGGGAGATATTAAGGAAGGAGCCATGGTGGTGAATGGAGTGGTCGGGAGACCGACTTGTTTATTCTACTATTTATGTACACAAGTGTTGAAGGAACGAATGTTAAATAATGATATACTCTCTTCGTTGTGCCTACATCAAGCGTGTGTTATCGCGTGTGCGGCGTGTTCAAGGGTAACATTTCCAAAACGGCGTATGTAGTGAGGGGGATGCCGATCCTTGCCACTCCTCCAAACTTTCCCCGACCTAAATTTGAATTTTGATTCAGGAACGAGAAGACCGTTATGGGGGTTGAGAATCTATATGTGTGTCTGGAAGTGTGAAGAACAAGCAAGGTTTGGTATCTACGCCGTGTTACCATTTTCCCAAACAGCCAACGCGCGATTATTTCCTAAACACTTTTCACGGCGCACGAAACAAGTATTGAAGCGTTAGAAAGATCCAGTCTCGGCCCGAGCATCTTTATCCTACTTGAGAATTCGCTTGCGCCAACTCGTGCGCCACATTTCCCTCCCCACAACCGAGCTAGCCTGATTCCGAACCGCACTAGACCCAGAAATGATAATGCTTTGAATATGCGGACACACATCTCAGGCCCGCCACGCGCACACCTGCCAAAAGCCGCCATTATTTGCCAACGCCGCATGAAAATTCCTGCAAAGCACACCTAATCTTCCGTCCTTCTGTTTACGGTAGTTTTGAGAAGGACTTCTGAAAAAGTGTTGATTACTGCCGCTAGCATTTTCCATTTTGGATGCGAGGAAAACCGGACTACAACGGGGACGCCGAATATTCGTTGGCTTATTTAGGATTGGTATTGCAGGAAGATACTGCATGTTGCATGTTGCATGTTGCATGTTGCAGGATTGAGTGGTGCGGGGAGGAATGAGAGTCGCAGTGCCGCTTGGAGAGAACATATGAACATCGATGGAGGATCTCTTAAGCCTTGCAGTCGTACATTGACTGGAAAATAACAAAACGGTTAAAATAAAACAAGCTGTTTTCGTTGGTTAGCGTTCCACCACCCGTCCACGAGGAGTCCTCATCTCAACGATTTCAACTTCTCTCTCATAATTGCCCTTCCCCGTCCGACGTCTTGCTCCAAGACTCATACTCCTACCGCGCCTTCCTCTGATGTCACGGAGCCCAAGCCCACTACCTTTCTTCCGCTCGAGAGCATTCTCAACAACTTCCACGATGTCCTCCTCCAATTCCATTTCCCCCACCCCATGATCCATCCAGACATGCCTAATAAGAGCTTTTACATCGCCACAGACTGTGTCTACACTCCCACTTCTCGAACAAATCACACATGAATATCCCTCGTTAACACTATCTCTGTGGCACTTAACTACAAAGCGATTCTTGATGTGGAAACAGTGTTCTGTGCCTTCATCGTCTTTGAAGATTTCCCAAGACTTTCCAGGGGAGAGATTTAGGTCGCGTTTACAGTATGGGCAGTGTGGAGATGAGGAATTGATGGTTGAGGAGACAGGCTGGGTCGGGTGGCGTTGAAGATCCAAAGCGTAAAGACAATAAAGAGTATGCGGAGTGATCTGTGAACCGTAGGCAGTTGGTCCTGAGAAGGATGTTGATTCGGTGTCTGACCTTGTGGCCTTTGGCCTACTCATAAGACCTGATATCGTAGGATTCGTTGGAACGTGAGAATCCGACCATGAGTTCTCGTGATGTGACTTGACGATCGCGGTTGAAGTGGCAGAGGTAGCTGGGGGTACTATGATAGGATACAGAGGGGCTAATTGTACGGCGCAGCGAGCGACTGGTGAATGAGTAGATTGAAGGGTTGGTGGTAAAGTGGAGAGTTGCCGCCAGTGTTGTGCGGAAAGAACGTCGGCCGAAGCAGTGCCTGCTGCGCGAGAGGCCGCCAGAAGGCTAGAAATGTGGTGTGAGATTGGTTGGGGGGAAATAGGCCCGTAAAGAAAGGTCATGACGAGGACGGATTGGAGTGTTATAATCTGTGACTGGAGTGCCGTCTGTGTGATAACTACTCATTCGGAACATAGGTCAGCCCAGCCATCGCCTGTTAGTAAAGAATCTAAGAGGGAACTTCTATACCATCACCAATGGCGAATTGGGTACCAAGGTCCTGGAAGCCAATATCGAACTCTCGTATGACAGCAGCCTTATTTAATGTGATTGACTCGTGGCCAACAGCGGATTCATCGTCAACATACTTGATCCTTCTCGAATCAGGATATCCTCTTGGCTTTATGTTCTCTTCATGGTCCCTTTTCTCTTTAGATTTGAGGATTCCGAATAGATCTCTCGTTGCATCAAGAACACCCAATAATACGTGAACAAGGGACTGTACAACATTGACCGGATCGGGGTGCGTATTCTATAACAATTAGCTCTCATCTTGATGCAAAAAATCTCCGAAAGGCGCATACACACCGCTACGTCCATCATTGAAACTTGATCTGCAGTCTTCAATTTGGTCCTTTAGCCGATAAGCAGACGCTCATACCTTATAAAAAGGTTCAAGTGCTCTCCCACGCAATGCAACGCCCCACGCTCTTTCAAACTCTGCTAACCACCTGTTCGGGCCAGCCCACTCGAATTGCTCCTTTAATGAGACCTATGTGAAATGATGCACTTGTACAGCTGGCACAGTGCAATTGGCGCTATCATCCCGCCTTCTTTTCTGATTGGAGCTAAGACGACTACGAGCCGGAAGCGCTGCAGGGACGAGTGGCAGAGAAAAATGATGTCATGCGTCATTTCAAGGCACAGAGGGTAAGTGAGTGTTGCATTGCGTACCCACGCTCTAGCTTCATGATTTCTTCTTTGGGACAGGGAATTGCGATAAGACCTAATTAGTCCGGATAGTAGCGTTGAAGCTTGATGGGGAGCACAACATGTCGGAAGTGTCGGACAGATGGGGTTCAAGACCACTGTAAGGTTGTGGGATTTCCCCGCATCAGAAAGGAGTGAGTAGCTGACAGCTACGTGTATACTATTTACAAGCTAGGTTAGAGGTATTCGCTGAGAATGTTGGGGGGACTGTGATGAAATTACTCCATATTTGAAGTTATGCATGATCGACGACAAAGAACGCAGAGCAAGTTACTTATGGTGCAGTTTTGTTGTCCTTTAATATGAAGAGAAAGTGTACTCTACAATTACAAGTTGTATTTCGTTGCAGTTGGTTCGAGAAACAAGGTTACAGCGCCCGTCACTTTATCTAGATCTATTGGAGTATTGAGGACTCAGGTGATGTTTTGCCGGGGTTCTGAGAGTTTTGCCGAACAAACTAGTCTCAATGAAGCCTTAGTGCGATGACCCCTCAGCCTTGCTGACTAAGACTTGGCTTCATCAACCTAACATCACTCTTCGCAGAACCAACACCAAGTTGTCTTTGACTTATGAAAAGGGCTTGTCCATTGCCATCGCAGCTAATTTCAGCCTATTCCTATCATTTTTCAAAGGGTCATACCAGGTCTGAGATCACATAAAATAACAACCAAACGAAGCAGCAGTCCGAGAACCCCCTATTTCGCAATGGGTATACATAACGGTAAAATGGAAACACAGCAATATTCAGAAAAAGGTCAGAATAACATTCCCTAACCTCGTTGGGGTGTCCACGGGTAATCCAATTTCGTGACGTGACCCGGCTCATGCCTCATTCCATGCCACTCATTCCCTTCTCAAATCTTCCTTAATACCTAGACTGGGTGGGGGTATTGGAGCCTCCTGTGGAAATTCGTGAGCGTGGTCCGGTAATCACGGCCCTCTCCTCTTCCTTGTTGGCCCCTATCGGATCAGAAGATCCTTATACTTCACGGGTGCCCTGAACAAGGAGCTGCTCTCGTCGTTTGGTGTCGTCTTCGTGCTTAGCGGCCACCCGGTGTTCTTTGTCTGCGGCCAGTGCTTCAGCAAACTTACTGTGTTTCCTGACACGAGGGCCGAACCAGTAGAAGACGTAGACGGGTATGCATACGATGACAGCTGTGCCAAAGAGTAGGAAAGAAGCGTTCTTAGGCTTGAGGCTTTTATAAAGGGGCCCCGTGTACAGGGCACACATTCCAGCCAAAAAGTCTCGCATAAACCCATTGCCACCAGTCGCAGAAGCAGCATATTCTCCGTATGAGGCAACCATATAGTCGATGGTGGCGTAATAGATTGCGTAGTTAGCCATACCAATCAGGACGGAGAAGATTAGGGGGGCGATCCAGGGGATTGGTGGACCAGTTGAAACAAACGCGAAGCCAAAGAGACCAACTGGGAGAAGTGGGACGATGAACAGTAACAACCAGAGGCGGCTCTCTGGGGTAAGCTCGTGACCGCGGTTGTTGCGCCGCTTGAAGTTGTGCCGCAAGATGACCGGGAAGAAAGACAAGTATGCCAGGACATAACCGATAAGAAGGGGAATCATGGCGAGACCGAACGCAGTCTTGTTGAAGTGCCACTGGTTGAAGACGTAGCCATACGACTCGAGGAAGGACTGCAGAATGTTAGCTTATGGAAGTAGATGAAGGGGGTTGTTTACTTACGAAGATGAGGGCATCGCTGAATCCGGAGAGAAGAGACAACAGAAGGACGATAGGCTCGGTGAGTAACATGCGGTATGGGCGCCACATTGTTGCCAGAATCTCACGCCAAGCGAACCTCTCCTTCAAGGATCTTACTTCATTAGGGCCGTAGATGTTGATGCTCTGCTTGGTGCGTCGCTTACGGGCTTCGCGGTCGAGCATGATAGTGGAGCGGGTTTCCGGGACAGTGAACGCGTGGATAGCCTGGACAACGGCGCCGAAGATAAGTTGGATCCAGAAATTCCAGCGCCAGGGGAGGTATTGCTCGATAGGTCCTCCGCAGATGCCGCCGATAACAGAGCCAAGACAACTAATCACCGTCAGTAAATACTTAACAGTGAGCCCAGAGATACTCACGACCAAAGGGAAACCCAGGCTACAGCAAACTGCTGCTCATCAGGGTCAAACATGTCTGCGACCATACCGAGCGTCACAGAACCACCAGCCGAAGACAGGCCACCAAGCACCCGACCAATGAGCACCTGTTTCCACGTATGGCTAGCGCCGCAGAGAATCTGCCAGATGTTGACGAGGCCCAATGAAAGCTGCATCACTGGCCAGCGCCCGATCTCTTCAGACCACGGCGCCCAGAGCTCACAGCCAAATGCGTAAGTGACCAAGAACGCAATCATACCGTGCCTAGCGTTTTCAATACCGTGATGGCGGTTCAGTGGCTCCACAGCGTTGGAGTATACCGCCGCGTTGTAACTGGTCTTCAGTTAGTACTAACTCTTAAAGGGGTAAAAATGGAGAATTTACTTCATACTAGTTTGGCAGAGAGCAACAACAGTGAGGATCCACCACTTCTTCTTAGGGGAGAAGGCGTATCCAGTGCTTTCGAAGGCATCCTCCTCGCGGAGGACAGGCTTGCCATTGACGATTAACTGCTCAGTGCTTGGGATCTTCTCCATACCAGTCGCTTCTCTAGCCACGCTAAGGCTGCCGTGGATTTCTGAACTACTTGTCTGGCGGGACTCCATGCTGTCAGGTTGAATGCTGACTAGGAGTGAGGGTAAGAGTGGGGTGAGAGTGAATGGGGGTTTGTGGGGGTGGGAATGTAAAGTAGCAAAGTCCTGTGAAGTCCAGGTGGACAAGAGTACAAAGCGGAAGCTTGAAAGTAAAAGGGATAGGGAACACAGTTCTCTTAAGCGGGTTTCAAGCAGTAAGGTTCGCAACATTGCGTAAGGGAGCAGATTAATCACAGACTCAAGGTATGGGTCTACCAGTTGCAGAGGACCCACCCTGCTAGTCTCGAATGGAAACGAAGCTAGCTATACCTTTCCGAATCGGTACAGTAGCTACCGCTGGACGGTTTACTACGGAGAATTGATAGTAGCCTACGATTTGAAAGCAGCAGATGAAGATGCCTGAAATTGTAAACAGAACAGGTAATGGGAAATAATTGAGTGCCTCATAAGTTCTAGCAACAAACCGAGCTCTCTAATTACTATCTGTTCGACGTGCACAATTTTTGATGATATTCGTTGTGGGGGCTCGGCACGGCCCGCCAGCTGACCGTTCTTGATTCTCGGAACCATGATCTAGACAATTGCGGAGAACCAAGCTTCGACCCAAAGAGCACATATCCATAGCCACGAAAGGCTTAGCACACTTAATTTCTTCATGTTAATCAATAGCTCAGATCTCTTATCTGCCCCCGCCTCCACAAATGTCATTGCTAGTCTCTGGGGATGACTGACATCGAATCTGGGGAAGTTCACGGGCAGCTTCTCTAAATCTAGTAAGGTTCTTTTGATTTCTCTGGTTCCAGAAGATCCAGATGCAAACCCGGCCGTATCTGCAGCTAAACAGCCCAAGCCGCATCCCCCACTTCCAGAGCCCATGGCCTTAGCTTAACTCGTTTCAGATCATTGACCCACCCCGCACAAGGCCGTGCGATGAGGTCCGGACTTGTTTGAATCGTGGTCCCAAGCGGGGGAAACTATTGGCCCAGTTCGCGGGCATATCAACGTAATCGTATAGGAATGTATTGGAGCTCGTGTCGTAGTTTCGGTGCTGAAAGGGGGGCTTTGTGATGTGGGGTGCGGTCATGTGCTCTTTGATGAGTGCCTAAGGTCTCAACAAAATATCATGACGCCGGAGCGCACAGTTCTTTGTCATAATCCAAATAGAATGGAAGGATATTTACGCGGTTGGCGCTCATTACCTCTGTGACCATGTGGTTAGCTACGCCGAAGGAGTCTTGTGACTCCCCGAGCTCTAGGTGCGCATTTCACCTCAAGTCTTCATCAGCATGACCATATGTAACGTCATGCAAAATACACGTGGGCTAAAACTGTGCAACTCAGGTCTGTCTTTCTATGAGTCGCAAACCTCCCCTCTCAGCTTCGCATATGAGGTTCATAGTCCCATCTATCTACATTCCCAATGCCATTGCCATATCCCATGCATAGTAAAGAGTGTATGAAATATTTCATGATCAACGGTCGTACCCAAATACAATATCCTGTTTTCCATTCATGCCAAATCATTAAGAGCAGCCGTAATATTCAAAATCGAACACGATGCAAATCCTAATGCCCGCTCAAGTACCTAAATCCATACTAAGTAACCAAGTCATTAGAACAAATACAGAAGCAAACATTACACTCAAGAAATAGTTTTAGAACGCAAAGACGAGAGTGCAAGAGAAGTAAAACGACAAATTTGCCAACAGATTAGTTGCCATCCTGTTGCTCTTCTTGCATCCTCTTCCACATACCATTCAACCCCTTAATCACATATGGAGCATGCGGGTAAATACATTCGCCATAGGAACAGGTCATGTTCCCATGGCACTGATTCCCACAGCTGCCACAGTGGCGTTCATCAGTTTGGGTGTTGACGCAGTATGGCGGAGGGGGTGTCGTGGCCCGTTTATAGAGTGGGCGACAATTATCAGGCAGATAACTCGGACACCCAGAGGGAGGGGTTTGGGAACTCGGTGTAGGCGTGGCTATACAGTGGCTGCCGCGATAGTCCATAATGTAGCCCTGAGGACATCCGGTAGGCGTCGTGGGTGTCGGGGTTGGGGTGCAATGGCCGCGGTAATCCGTGACTTGGCCAGGTGGACATCCGGTTGGGGTAGTAGGTGTAGGGATTGTTGTACAATGTCCACGATAATCAGTGAATTGACCAGGCGGGCATCCGGTTGTCGTAGGGGTTTGGGTTGTGATGCAGTGGCCTCGGTAATCTGTCACGTACCCTGGTAAACAACCTGTAGATGTCGGGACATCCAAGAGACATTCTCCACGGTAGCCAAGGGTATATCCTGGAGAGCATATTGGGCCAACGCTAGAGGTGGTAGTTGTTGTAATGGGCCGACAAATGCTGCGATAGTCGAGCGTATATCCAGGAGAACATGTCGGGCCTTCGCTGGAGGTGGTAGTGGTAGTAGTGATGGGCTGACAGCGGCTGCGATAGTCGAGCGTAAATCCAGGGGAGCAAGCCGGGCCTACACTTGAGGTGGTTGTAGTAGTGATGGGCTGACAGCGGCTGCGATAGTCGAGCGT